AATCTTCTAAACAAGAGATAAAAATAGATCACTAAGTAAACCATCAACTTTTAATGACCTCAACAAATATTGTGGCTAAAGTATATAATTGGCCCTTACTTTATTAAGTTTAAAGTTTTTAATCATTCATTTTATATTATGAAATTTTTAGCTTTTAGACTTAAAAGTCTGAAGATTTTAGCCCCTCTATTAATGGAATTTGTTAATTTTCCATGAAGTAAGAATAAAATATTTACAAGATCAGTCCTCAAAAATTAAAAATATAATAATTTAGTTTCAAAGTTTAAAAATAAAAATAATTAGTGAATGTCTTTGTCATGTACATAAAAACAATATTAGATATGTAAAATAAAAATGAGTGATTAGCCCAATTTAAAGAAAAAAATTTGACAGAGATTAAAGAAAATTTTTTGAACTGTATTCTTTTTATTTTTTAGAATTTTTGTCTTAACTCAATTAAAAAAAAATTTTAATCTCAATTAGAATTTTTTTTAAATTGACCTAATCACTCAATTTATTATAAATATCTAATACTGTTCTAGTATACATGAAAAATTCATCTGTTAATTCTTTTTAATTTACTTTTTTTTTAAAAATTTTAAACTTTTAAAATTAAATTATTACATTTTTAAAATTTGAGAATTGATTCTGTAAATATTTTATTATGACTTTAATCGAGAAGTAATGCATTCTGTTAGTCAAGGAACTAAAATCTTTAAATCTTTAAGTTTAAAGGCTAAAAATTTTATAATATAAGGTGATGGATTAAAACTTCAAACTTAATAAGGTAAATGGCTAAATATATGATTAGCCTATTCGTTAGTTTTTCTAATTGACCCTCCTTGTATATATAGGGGACATATCTATCGGAAGGAAATTGAGGGAAATCAGATCTAACATTTACAAACCGCCCTTAAAAATGTGGGAGAAGAGGGTGCAAGGCATTGCCACTTGTGTCAAGGATACAATCCCAGAAGAGTTCATCAGACCGGAGAACGAGCAACCTGGGATCACAACCGTCCAGGGAACCTTCCTAGAGGTCCCGATCATTGATCTCAATAATCCAGATGAGGAGAAGGTGATGCATGATATTGTGGAGGCCAGTTGCCATTGGGGCATGTTCCAATTGGTGAACCATGGGATCCCCAATGAGGCCATAAGCAAGCTGCAAAAGGTTGGAAAGGAGTTTTTTGAGCTCTCACTAGCAGAAAAGGAACTTTATGCCAAGCCTCTAGGATCCATAGAAGGATACGGTACAAGTCTTCAGAAAGAAATTACAGGAGGCAAGAAAGCTTGGGCTGATCATCTCTTCCATAAGATATGGCCCCCTTCTGCTATAAATTACAAGTTTTGGCCTAAAAATCCATCTACCTACAGGTTTGCCGTTAATCAATATGCATTCAATTTTTTTTTTTTTTTCCATTCAAGATTCCCAGATATCTTTATGTTCATCTAACGGTTCAAATTTAGTATCTACACCTCAGATGTTCATTTCAAGTTCTGATCTGTGGATGCCCTAGAGAAGGGCTTAGTTTTATTTTCACGTATATTGAAACGAATCGCCATGATGGCAGGGAGGCTAATGAGGAATATGCAGAGCACATGCATGGCGTGGTAGAGAAGCTGTTTAAGTACCTGGCATTAGGATTGGGACTTGAAGGAGATGAGCTGAAGGATGGGGTAGGTGGCAATGAATTGATTTACCTCATGAAGATCAACTATTACCCACCATGTCCTCAGCCAGAGCTGGCCTTGGGTGTACCGCCTCATACAGACATGAGTTCCATCACCATTCTGGTCCCTAACGAGGTGCAAGGCCTCCAGGCAGAAAGAGATGGTCAGTGGTACTGTGTCAACTACGTCCCGAATGCACTCATCATTCACATTGGTGACCAACTGGAGGTGCTTCCCCTTGATCTCTATTTTTTCAACATCAAGCTACTTTTGATTCATACGGTAATTGTGAGGTTTTTTTTTTTATTTTTTATTTTTTTCTCCTTTTGGAGAACATAACAGGTTGTGAGCAATGGGAAATACAAGGCAGTTCTGCACAGGACGACCGTGACCAAAGACAAGACCAGAATTTCATGGCCTGTGTTCCTGGAGCCGCCACCAGAGTTTGGGGTAAGGCCTCATCCTAAACTCGTAAATGAGCAGAATCCACCTAAATATAAGACCAAGAAGTACAAGGACTACGTTTACTGCAAATTGAATAAGATCCTACAGTGAGCCAATTTGTTGTTAAATATAAGGTGAAATAATTCGTTGGAATTACGAAATCAGGGATTCTAAATGTCCAGCATAAGGCTCCTCCGCAAAGAGAACAATATTGAAAAACTACCATTTTATTCTTAGATCACTTGCACTTTTGGTGATGTCTGCACCTCTCTACTTGTATAAACTTGTAGGTCAAGATACTCGCATGTCAAGAAACTTGTATTTGTTCTGAAATAATTAAAGATCATTTTCCCTTCTAAGAAAGACCCTTTTCCCCTAATGAAATAACTTGGTGGGATGACAAAAGGCAAAGTTCTAGACTATTAACAAAGAAAGAATTAAATAGACCTTCTAGCCTTATATTAGTATATATACCATCACCAAAAAATATTTTGTTTTACAATTCACACTATATCAGATTGTAAAATATAAATGGTTAGATAAGATATTGATCCCCTAATATTAAGGTCCTCCTCCTATCTAACAATATTTATTTTACAGTCTAATACAGTTTGAACCGTAAAATAACAAACTAATACTATCAATCTATTAGTTAGCTCATAAAAGAATGACAAGCTTAATTGAAAATGCACGTACATCTTATAGCTAAAACAGGCTTTGATAAAATTTTAATTAGTTAATTAATTAAATCAAAATCGGTATTAATATTTGAAAAAAAATGTTCATTAGCTAGGCTTAAAAAAATTAAGAGTAAAAAAGATTACAAAATTATGTTATTTTAATAAATTTTCATTAAAAAACTAAAATAACCTATTTTGAAATTAGGATTGTGTTTATTTTGTTCTTTTCCATCGCAATTTTTGTGTCTTTTCCTTTCTAATTTTTTTGAAACTCAATTGACAAACACTAATCTCTTAAAA